TCCCCTATATTCTTAGAACAAGAAAATATTTTATTCATTTAATACATTTCATACTTCGTATAAGAAGACTAACTTCTTGGTCAAATTCCATATTTTCTTGGATCAAGAATATATGTTCTTGTCCCAAATATCCTATGTCAAGAAAATCGTTTTCTTGAATCAATACTTTAATAGTCTTGGCCGTATTCAATCCCACGATTTGCTTCAACCAAGAAAAATTTTCTTGGTTCAATACTTTTTTTTTTCAGTGTAAGAAAATGAAATTAATCGGAATCACAATTTGGACAAGTAAAATAGGCTCCATTAATTACAAATTTTTAAGTGAACAGCTTTATCGCATGAATCGTAATGAATCGAATTGTTTTTGTTAAATTACTATAGCTATGAATGATTTTAATAATATGTACTTGCATTGTGCAATTAAATGGCCAAAATCAAGCAATAAATATACTTCCCTAAAGAAGTGGCCCACAATTCCCCAAATGCTTCATTTTACAAAAAGCTTTTGTATTATTTATTCTTTTCAATTTGATGCAAAATTTCTTTTTGGAGTCAAAGTACCAATACCACACAATAATTAAAAAAATATTTATCATAAGGGTAAGAATCCGTCAGAAAAGTTACAATTTGAATGGGGTCTACGGATTATTCTGCAATTTTGTGAAGTACAATATTTGATAACAAAAGTAAGTGTACCAAAGGATTTTTAAAAATTTTCAAAATTGTAAAAGTTACGTCATTTTGAATTTTTTTATAAGATTTTTTTTAAATGTGAATATTTCCGAAACAATTTAACAGATTTTAATAAAATTTAAATATGTAATACTTAAAATCATGTCCTTTCAGAATTTTTCAAAAGAAAAAAAATTTTTTTGTTTTTTTCAAAAAAAAAGTAAAAAAAAAATTTTTTGAATCGATTTATTAAGCACGGGACCGATTTTTGAACATTTTTCGATCTATAATAAAATATTCCTTATAATTTCACCTTTCATTTAAAAAAAAAGAAAACGATGGAGACTTTAATAGTTTTTAAGATATTGCAATTTTTGTGGAAGCGCGACCACGTTTCAGTGCCAGCGCAGTATCTTTTACCCGGGACGCCTCACAGTGGGATTTTTTACACTTTACTCTTCAAAATTGTCTAGAGCCTACAAATTTTATTGGATTTTGATGTTCTTGGTCTTAAATAAAAGAGGATAAAATTTCTAAGAGTTCCCTTTAAACCGACTTTTAAATTTTTAATTGTTTATTTATTTTTTTGTTACTCAAAGTAAACAATTTACAATATTTTTGTAAAAAATACTGTTTATTTTTTATTTTCCCATTGCAAATTAAAGATTGATCAACTTTGCCATGAATGTGCCATTATTGGGCCGAGAGCTGGCCCAGTCTTAAAAAATTTGAAATTCTGACCATCGGCGCCATCATTGGCCCAGTAATGGGACGTTTTGAACACCAATAATGGCCCAGTAACTACTGCCAATTCTCGGCAGACATTACTGCACCAATGATTGGCCGTTTTTGCAGTCTCGGCATTTCGCACTTGGGTATTTAAGTAATGTATGTCTATTTTGTAAAAAAATGATTTTTAAGTTAACAAAATCATCATTGTTATTAAGGTACTACTACACTTTAGAATTTAAAAAATTTTTATTTTTTTTATTGTATTTTTTAACTCCTTATGACTTCAGAAAACACCTCCTAAAGTATTCATAACCAATTGTAAAAATAATGGTAAATTTTTCAAAAAATATTCAATTAATGTAAAAAGTCATTGACAAATTAAGTAAGTCTTTAAGAAGATGGTTGGGTCCAGCTTTTAATTTGCAAAAGAATTTTAGGTAATTTATGGATGGCCTCTAACGATACATATAAGGTTTAAACGCGTTTTTCTCAAAATAACGTTTTCTCAAATTGCGGACAGTTTATCTCTGAATCTACTGAACCGATTTTAATAAATAATAACTCGTTTTGTTTGTTAGCATGTCCTGTGTGAGAATTCACCAGAAAATGGTCAAAAAATTTTAAAAAAACATTTTTGCAGACTAGAAAAATACTGAAAAACATAGTGTATTTTGACAAAAATTATTGAAGCATCTGCTATTTTTTTATTTCAGTCCATTTTTCATTAATGGTGGTGGATTTCTATGCAAGACACCTTCCTTTTTAAAAAGCAGTTTAGATTCTTTGTTTCCGATTTGTCAATCTTGAGATAAACTGTCCGCAATTGGACAACTAACTTTTTGGAGTTTCGATCTGGATGCTGTCTGCAGATTATGATATTAAATAAAAATTAAAAACAAACCATTATTTTTATTCTCCAAATATGTACTAATATAGGCAAAAAAGTTTTTTTAAATATTTATAATAAAAGACCTAAGAAAAAAAAATTTTAAATTTGGTCTTTTGAGAGCCTTCTAAAGTGTAGTATAGTACCTTAATAATTATATAACCAATAATCTATTTTCTTTTGCATTTATAAACATTTCCAGCATTTTTTAAACTTAAAATGTTTATATTATATGTACATTCTTTCAAAAACTTAAAAAATGTACTTATTGATTTTAAAACAATTTTAATTAACAAATAGATAACATTGGTCTTTTTAAAAAAAATTGTTTTTTTAGACAAATTTATGTTTATTTAAGTAATTCATGTTTACGTTGTAAAAAAAATGATTTTAAAGTTAATAATAATCATTGATATTAACAATACTCAAGTTATCAATATTTAAGTAGAGCTTTAAAATGGTAAACTCGTTCAAAAAGGTTCTATTTCTTTGCAGAAATAAGCCATTTATTTGTTTATAAAGTTAATAATTTCTTTATAACAAATGTAATTGTTTAAGCTAATAAATTTTTTAAGTTTTTAAAAGAATCTACATATGATATAAATATTTAAAGGTTAAAAGATGACGAAAATGTTTATGAATGCAAAAGAAAATAGATTATTGGTTATATATAATTATTAATAACAAAGATGATTTTGTTAACTTTAAAATCATTTTTTTACAAAATAGACATACATTACTTAAATAAACATAAATTTGTCTACAAAAAAACATTTTAAAAAAAAGACCAAAGTTATCTATTTGTTAATTTAAATTGTTTTTTTTAACAATTTAAATAAATAAAATTTAAATAAATAAATAAAAAATAAATATTTTTAAATTCAAATAATTATCCATTATTATTTGTCAGGTGGTCAGACTAAACTAATTTAAATTGATTTCGATCTTGTGCAATAGAAAAATAAAAAATAAACAGTATTTTTTACAAAATATTGTAAATTGTTAACTTTGAGTAACAAAAAAATAAATAAACAATTAAAAATTCAAAAATCGGTTTGAAGGGAACTCTTAGAAATTTTATCCCCTTTCATTTAAGACCAAGAACATCAAAATCCAATAAAATTTGTAGGCTCTAGACAATTTTGAAGAGTAAAGTGTAAAAAATCCCACTGTGTAGCGTCCGTAAAAGATACTGCGCTGGCACTGAAACGTGGTCGCGCTTCCACAAAAATTGCAATATCTTGAAAACTATTAAAGTCTCCATCGTTTTCTTTTTTTTAAATAAAAGGTGAAATTATAAGGAATATTTTATTATAGATCGAAAAATATTCAAAAATCGGCCCCGTGCTTAATAAATCGATTCAAAAAATTTTTTTTACTTTTTTTTGAAAAAAACAAAAATTTTTTTTTCTTTTAAAAAATTCTGAAAGGACATGATTTTAAGTATAACATATTTAAATTTTATTAAAATCCGTTAAATTGTATCGGAAATATTCACATTTAAAAAAAATCTTATATAAAAATTCAAAATGGCGTAACTTTTACAATTTTAAAAATTTTTTTAAATCCTTTGGTACACTTATTTTTGTTATCAAATATAACAACTTCACCAAATTACAGAATAATCCGAAGACCCCATGCAAATTGTAACTTTTCTGACGGAGTCTTACCCATAATTAATTCTTGAAAATCTTTGTTAAAAAAATAAAAACATGAAGACCCAAAATAAATATTTTAATGCAATTTTTTAGGTGACTTTTGTTTTCGTTTTATAGGTAATTGTAAAGCGTTTTAAAGTCATGAAATGATAATGAAAAATTTACTTTAGACGAACAATAATAATCAGTAATATTTCATAATAATAATTATTGATGAATTTGAAAATTAAAATTGCTTTCAAAAAATCTGAGTGACAGAATAAGAAAAATAAATGAAAATTTTAAGTGAATAAAATAAGTATAATTGTAAAAAAAATTAATTACGCCATTTCCTTGTGCTAAAGTTGAAAAGACATAAAAGGCATGTATTGCGTTTGAAGTGATGATGCTTCGTGCGGTTTATAAGACTGCATAAATACCTAAGTTATTTATTGACTTTCGCGAAACTTGACTGACTCGCGAAATATATATAATGTCCTTTTGTAACAATATGAGAAATGATACCCTTGATCAGAATAATTATTACTTCTGCCGATAATTTTTTTATTAGAAAATATAAAACATAAAAATAAAAATTTTCCTATTTTTGCAATATAATGATTTTTAATGTTCATTTTCATTAAAAAAATTTTGAACAGTATATCGTTGTTCATCTGAAATACATTTTAGGCTGTTTTTTAAAAATGTTGTTCTTTATTTTAAACTAATATAAAAAAGTTAAATAAAAAATTTTAATTGTATTAAGTACATTTAGCTTAATTTTATCACTAGTCTTATTCAAATACATTTCCTTCCGAAATCTTCTTATATATTTTACTAGTTATAAATTATAACCATGATGATAAGAAACTCTAAAGAGTTCGAAACTATAGTTGGTAAATATACAAAATATGAAGTCAAATAACCATATTTAGGTTAGTACAAAAATATTCAAGGTAGTAAAATATACTGGAAGAATTATAATACTAAAACTGACAAAATACTATAAAAATATTAAAAATACTAAAATTAGGTGAAATAAAGTATAAATTAGGGAAAATTTTTGCTTTCAGCAGCCGGCGAATTCGCAGGAGCGTGGCAGCGGCTTGGGTTTGGGGTGTCAAGGTGGTCCAGTAGGGAGTACGGGGGTGGGGCCGGGAGCTGTTGATCAGGCCCGAGATTTGAGTCCGTGCTTACCAGCGTCTATGGGAGACGCTGCGAGACCCACAACGCTTCCGTCCAGTCCACCACCTCAGCAACCTCCGCCGTCGGCTCATCATCATGGGCCCCATTCGAGGACGACCCTACATCAAACACATTGTGGGACCAATAATAATTGTTACGATTCCACCACTCCCTACGATTCCAGGGACTACGGTTCGCCCGGAGGTATTATTATTATTACATATTTTCCAAATTCTTGTTGTTCTTGTTATTCCTTTTTTGTTTCTTTTACATTTGATTTTCTAAATTTATTTTTGTCATTATTTGTTTTGATATTCTTGGTATTACTTCTACTTTTTGTTATGCTTTTGTTGTTTCATCTTCTTGATGTTATTATCACTCCTTTCCTTTTTATTACTTCTGTTATTTCTTTTTTTTCTTGCTATTTTTTCATATCTTGCTAATTTTGTTCTTTCGCTTTCTCATGACGGTTTTTAATTTTTCAAATGAAGGTTATATGGATACATCTAGATGTATGTATGTGTATGTAACAAAATATTGTGTACAAATTATCTCACACACCTTTTTGACAGATTGTTCTAAAATTTGCTTATTCTTGTCAAAATTATATTCCTGGCATACAAACGAATCGATTAATGTATATAAAGTATACATTTCACCAATATATATATATATATATATATATATATATATATTTTTTTTTTTTTGACCTATAGGTCAAAAAAAAGGTCAATTTTGACATAAGTTTTGACGCCCTTTTGGGATAGGGCGCCTTTACAGAATCTTGAAACAGCGACGGCGGCGGCGATATCTTTTTTATAATATATATATATATATATATATATATATATATAGTTTATAGCCATTTTTATATTGAACAAAAAATTTCAATTTGAAGGTTTTAAAAACTTATCTTAACACTTTGAAATAAATTAACTACTATGAATTTTTGTTATATTTTATTATTATATTTCTTCTTCGTCATTTTTTTCTTATCATTTTTTTGGGAAACAATCAAGAAATATCCCACGGCACGGAAAGTCTCCTAAAAGTTGAAATTAAGTTAAATGCAACCATCTTTATTCTCTAAATTTGAATTAGTAAAAATGTTTACTAATTTAAATTAATGATTCACTTTTTGCTTTTGAATTAGTAAGTTTTACTAATAAATAAGTAGAAATCATACTATTTGTTCGTAAAATTTACTAATTTAAAAGCAAAATGTCAGTTACTAATTCAAATTAGTAAACATTTTTACTAATTCAAATTTAGAGAACAGTTGAGAAGCTCATGAAACTAAAAGTAGTTGTTTACATGTCCACTGTTTTTCAATAGCAAGTTTAAATTTTTTCTAATATTTGAAGTGAAATTATTGAATTTTCTAAAAACTGATTTGACAAACTTTTTTCAATAATTGCAGGTACGACAGAGTACAGAAGTAGTGGAAATTATGAGCCCGCCAGTGACCTTACAATGCCACCGCAATCGCACCATCATCATTTTCATCACTCCGTCCATCAGCAGGATCAACAGTCAACAGATCATCACCTACAAGCAGTGCCAAAAATTGAACCACCACCGACGCCTCCGTCACAACCGGAAGACATGTCGGGTGTTGTTTGTGCCGGCTGTGGACTAAGGATATCTGACAGATTTTATCTCCAAGCCGTGGATAGAAGATGGCATGCCTCATGCCTTCAGTGTTCCCATTGTCGACAGGGTTTGGATGGCGAGGTCACGTGTTTCAGTCGAGACGGAAACATCTATTGCAAGAAAGACTACTATCGGTGAGTCTTTTCTTTTACTTTTCTTAAACTATTGTATTTTCAACAATGCTATTCTCTCCACACGAGAGCTATTTAGGAGAATCTAGAAACCGAACAGAAGAAATGATTAATTCATTCTTAGGTCTTTTCTCGAGATATCGAAAGAATATATCTTGATTAAAAAAAAGGAAAATACTTCATCATGCAATTTGTAAAATCGCTTCTGAATTGACAATTAGAGCAAAGTGGATTTGACGGGTTCCACGTCAAGTGACCCAGGTCCAAATTTTAAATGTTTGGGATCGGGTTAAAAGTTTGCACAAACAGTAGTCCTATTCGATACAATTAAAAATACCAAATATTATTAATTTATTTAAACAAATATAAAAACTGGAGGGGGTAAAAGTTTAAATTTTTGGTCTAACATGGAATATTTGAAAAATTTGTAGTTTCTTTAAAACAAAACGAAAATACGTTTTCTATTTTGGGTTTTGCTGCTGTTTTTCAACACTTTCTAATAGTGTGAACAAATGTAGAGAAAAAAAATTGTTTGAACTTGAAAAATTAAATTAAAAAATAAAATTTCATTTTTTCATCAAATGGACAGTTTTTATTTTTTTAAAAAAAATTTTATCATAAAGGTGAGGTTTTTTCCTAAAAAAAATGTATAGGTCAAAACGTGGGACAAGAACTTTTAACTGGTCAAAATAAACATTTACTTCTGCAATCCACCGCCCCTGCGCGTTGTTGGGCTGTATATTGTTTATAACAATTAAAATAAATTATTTTATGCTTTATTAATTATCTGGTGGTCATATTGGATAAATTTAAATTTATTTAGATCATGTGCATTAACGGAATAAGAAAATAAACGTCCTTTTTTAAAAAAGTGTATTAATTTGTTAACTTTGATTTAAAAAAAATTATAAATAATTAAAATCCCCAAAATCGGCCTCGAAGGATGTCTTAAGAATTTATTCCCCTTTAATTTAAGACAAAGAACACTCAAATCGGTTAAAAATTGTAAGCTATAGACATTTTTTAATAGGAAATTGTAAAAAAAATTCCACTGTGGGCCGGTGCAGTGCAGTTGTAAATGCTTAATTTGACCAGTTAAAAGTTCTTGTCCCACGTTTTGACCTATACATTTTTTTAGGAGAAAACCTCACCTTTATGATAAAATTTAAAAAAAAAAAATAAAAACTGCCCATTTGATAAAAAAAGGAAATTTTATTTTTTAATTTAATTTTTCAAGTTCAAACAATTTTTTTTCTCTACATTTGTTCACACTATTAGAAAGTGTTGAAAAACAGCAGCAAAACCCAAAATAGAAAACGTATTTTCGTTTTGTTTTAAAGAAACTACAAATTTTTCAAATATTCCATGTAAATTTTTGACCTGGGTCACTTGACGTGGAACCCGTCATTTATATTTTGATTGTTTAATTGCAGGAAAATAAAAAGAATTTAACTTCTTTTGAAAAGAAGCGAATAGTACAAAATATATACTTGTAAGCAATAAAATGTTGCGGTGAATGTTTAATTTTAGTTTACATAGGAATAGAAAAGTTCTGGGTACATAAATATTCGCTATATGGTTGAATAAAGTGAAGTGTGTCTTATCTAATTGGGAAGGTAATAGAGAGTCTCGAGCACATGCATATACAAATCGTGGTGGTGTCTGTGAACGACGACATGTATACACGGTTGTTTGACATTTATTTAGTTTTAGATTCCCACTCCTTCTTTTCTCTCTCGTTACCATTTTATTTACCGCGCGATATTCGTTTCAATGTCGCGTTACAATTTTCCGCGCGCGTGAATAATGGAACGTGATTCAAACGATTACAATGTTATTCAATGTCACATTTGACAATTTCTATTCCGATACTTTAATATAATACTACAACTGCTACCACAATATCTACTCATAATTTCTTTAAAAATAATTTGAGGAAATTATAAGTCTCTTATATAGAACTATGATCCCACCAAGTTTCGTGAAAATCGGTCAACCTTTTGCAAATCGTGATATTTCTGACGTGAAATGCTCCAGTAGGTACATACATACTATATACATATATAGATACATATTATTTATTTACTTAAATACTTATTTTAATCTTGATATGTACCTGCAAATTTTTCTTCAAGTCTTCGTTTAATTTATAAGAGGAAAATCACAATGAGGCAGTACCTGAATTATGGGGCATGAGTCTTATTTTACTTCTGGGCTAATGATTACAGAATTTATTTTCTATGAAGTGGTAAAATTCTCGGTAATTTAAAATACAGTTATATTCTCAAGAATATAGGTACCTTCTGGAGAAATTATGATTAGATTTATTAAAATAATTAAATAATTACCATTACAAATTAACTATATTGATTAATAAGCTTTGAATATTGATAAATAAAAATAAAAAATTTAGTGATTTTGATGCAGAAAGGATTTCTGGAATTTTATGAAAATTTTCCGCATGTGATTTCTGGAAATCTTTCGGAAATTCTTCTACATGAGATGATTTCAATTGACAATTAAAGTTAAATAAATTGTACTTTTGAAATTAATTATTTTATGGGTCTGCTTGCTTTAAGAAATACTGGGGACCATTTATACGTGAAATAATTAAATATTTATAAAAATAAACTTTTTGTTATTTATTTTAAAGAGATGAAGTGTTTCATAATAATATTAACGTTTATAATAATTATCAAAAGCGGTAAAATAATTTATTTTTTACCATGAAATATTTTTTTTTGCATGCCTACTGCTTTTAGAGGATATTAGAGACATGCAGTTGCAAAAAAAGTTCATGATATAAGAAAAATATATGATATCCATTCAAACTCTAGATTCTTTTGTTTTATTTGGCCTTGAAACATATTTTTTTTAAATTATTAAATATCCACTGGCGTATTTTCCGGACAGGTAATACCTCATAATTTTATGTAGGTCTCCAACTATATACTTATAATCTTCTCAAATTGATTCAAATTGATATTATGAAATCTGTCCTCCGTATTGGAATTTATTTTTCTATATTCAAGGTACATCTCATTTTATTTAATAACAGAAATATCGAATTTCCTGTTATTGAAAAAGAAACTTGTAAGATTGAATCGCAATGTTTTTATTTTGTGTATATACAATGTTCGACAGAAAACCACTGTCGCCCGTATTCTAAAATGATAAACTTTTTAATTCCTACGAAAATGTTAATTTAATTTTCAAAGATAAACAAAAATTTTCTAAAAAATTATGACTGCAAACTTGAAGGAAATCATAAATAATTAAATCGCAATTAAAAATACTAAAAAAATTACGAAGTGTTGAATGGAAAAAAGTGAAGTAATTGAAAAGAACAAGTCACGTTGGAAATATAAGAAAAATTACAAAAAAAGAAAAAAATTGTCAGAAGACGACTTCTGATGTCTAATTCGTCTTTCATCTTCCCGCGATTCTTGTTTTATATGGTATATACGGAATATAGAAAAAAATGAGAAAAAATTGCGCGTTATTGTAATTTAAATTGTAGACCTCCTTTGTGTCTGTTTATATTCGTAATAAGAGAGTTTTTCCGAGACCGAGAGTGTCTGTCGTTCAAATTCCCTCCAGTGTTCTTTTGATCGAGTAAAATTCCCATACGTGTATTACATGTAGTGACTACTATTTGTGTTTATTATTGTATATATATATATACACTTGAGTTTTGTTTTGTACCAATGCTCGCTACTGCTTTTGCGGCTTAATAAGAATTCTCTCACGTTCAACCTGCAGTAAATTCCATTCCTGGAAACAATTGTCCCGCACTAGTAGAAATACGCGGAAATCACCTGTCTTGCCATGTTCCGCTCGTCGTAAGCTACAAATCCTGATTAAAGGAATTGCCGCCTCCTTTAAACTGTGACACGATTTCAAGTTGAGCTTTTCGTGCCCCGTTGACACCAAAACAATATTTCTAGGCTTTTATGATTATCGGCAATAATGTATAATAATCCTCCTATTTTTATATTAGCTTCTTCGTTTTATCGTTTCTCAATCTTTTTTGTGTATTTCTATATTTTCAAGTGTTTTCTTCGACGCGAACAACAACAATTGTTATTTTTCAAGTAGATAATCATTCTGTTTTGGGTGAAAAGTGATCTAGTCGAGAAAGAAAAAGAGAGATCCTTATTGTCTGTGTGTGAAAAACACAAAGTTATACTGATGCTAATCACCCTTTTTGTATAGTATAATCTTTCGAAAATCCCTTTCGGTTGATTGTATCTCTATTTTCCTTTTATTTTCCTCTTATTTCGAAAGTGAGAAAAATTTCGCTTTATGAATTTGCTAAAATTTTCAACTTCTTAAAGTTTTTCTGAATGTTTAGAAAATTATATTTTTTATGTTTTTTTAATTTTCATTTTCATTTTAGTTATTTTAATTTTACTTTGTTTTGATTTTTTATTCATTTAAATAAATCTTTATAGTTTTGTAAATAATTCTACTTTTCTGTTCTCATTTTCTTTTGTTTTAATATAAATATTTTTAAAGGCTTTAAAAAATATTTATCTTGAAGAATAAAAAATTCTATTGAAAATATTTTACCTTTTTTGCAAATGAAGATTTAATTCAGTTAAAAATTTGTAATTAATGACTCCAAACAATATTGTACGTATATTCAATAAAAAGAATTTTTCATCAAATTATGTTTATTCTCAATTGAACCCCTTGATGCAAAAACCAGACATAGACGTTTGAAATTAAATAGACTGCGTCTGATTCTTGCATCGAGACGTTTAATTTTAACCTGTTTACACAAATTTTATTTCTTTCCAGTATGCTTTGCAAAATATTTAGTTTTCTAGTACAATAGCACTTCGTGGAATAATTTATATTGTCAAATAAAGAATGGATTCCCTACATATAATTGGGTAAATAAGAATTTAAAAGGTAAATACTGTAACTAAATATAACGTTGAAACTTCTACAGCCTATTTTTAAATTAAGAGAGTAAGAAAAACCGCTGCCAAGTTGTA